ACACAACATTACGTGCATATATATGTGATATAAAAGTTGTATATACGTATGTACGTATATATATATATATGTTCAGGTAAATTTGTGGATAATTAGTTGTGCATTCTTTCGGATAAAAATCTGGCTATAGAACCGATGCCTAGCGGCTCTTAAAGGGACAAAAGAGAACAGAGATATTTTTTTACTATTTTCTACTGAAAAGCTTCCTAAAGGATCGACTCTTTCGAGGTGTGCCTTCACGCGATGACAGCAGACCAGTGGAGCTGCCTGGCAAGCTACCAGGCGGACGACTACCTATGGGCAGAGTAGCCGAACGATGCGGCCGAGTTGGGCCAGAGAGCTGGGCTGAAGAGCCGCTGCCGGTGGCTTGCATTGGGGACGCAAGACCTGCTAGCGAAAGGAGGAGAGTTGCAGTTTCGTTAATTGAAGTCACCCAACGGCGCATCACAACCTCACTAGCAGAGTGGAAAAGTAATTCAGCCCCGTTCTCCAGGCGAACTCGGAAGACAGCGGGTCGTTTAGTATAGTCAGGTGCAGAGGAGGCTTGTGCGCCGAAGAGATCAAGTGGAGGTTCCCTCTGGAACAGCTCCTCTGGACGAGTACGTCGAGATCTTTGGTCCTGCAAAGAAAACCAAAAAAGTGATCAGTACGATTAGAATATTGAGATACTTTACCAAAATAGCCTTAGAGGGAGGGAAATCAAAATTAAATTAGTCAAAAAGTGAAGCACAGTTGAAAAACTATTGAGTTACGCAGCTAAAAACTACTTTATAAGTTGATAAAGTGTAATATCATGGCATAACTCGAGCTCTTCTCTCCTTCAATTCATCCTAGGTCGCATGAGGTGATATAAGACTGATAGTTGAATTTTTCGCAAAATGCAATGAGTATACTTCACTTTCCAACGAATTAAATTTAGTCTAGATGAGGCTGAGACCAAACAAAAGGTCACATCATCTTGGTCTTCATATCTACAATTCCCTTAGGGTTGTTTTCCAAAAAGTATTCCCATCCAGGCTGCATAAGACTGCAGTTTCGACCTCGCCTGGGTCTCATCAGAACTCCCAACGGGTAGTGCAGCGGATAATTTGGACGCATTACCACTAGGCCACACAACCACGAGTGATAGTGGGGTTCAGGACATGCGTGAATTTAAGGGAAGGCCAGGCCTCTCCCATACCACACTTTTATTCAGGTATTGTCGATAAGGCAAATGCATGTTTTACCATTTCAATCGCCTATGCTACTTATATGCGAATAAAGTAGGTTTCGAAACTACCAGTAAATCTTGAATAAGTGGTGCTAACCCACCTTCGAGATTATACGCTGAACCACCAGAGTTCGAGTCCCGCTAGGAGTACTGATGAGTCCTATATGAGGTAGACATTTAAGTCCACTCATGAAAACAATAACTTTTGAGAAACAAGTGAAATAAAATATAAACGTGAGACCTACTCATATCAATGTGAAAAACATTCACTTATCAGACCTATATCATCTTATGCGAGCTTAAGTGAATGGAAAACTTATAAGTACAGTTGTTATAGAAAGATTGCTTACCTTAGGAATTATTACGAATCTGCCTATGGTGAACAGAAGAGAAAATTTAAGTTTTAAATTTAAATATTCTTTGCTATGCAACTCAAAAGACCACGCCCATTCAGGCTCGAGAGCAATTTCGACCTTACTTCGTAATAACCTCATTAGTCATAGCATGATCTGAACCTTGGATATTGTGGCTGATAGGAGAACATCTTATCTCCTAAACCGAACGACTATAGCCACACTTTGCTGCTGGTAAGCATAAAGTTCGATGCAAGGCAAGATCTATTTCAATTCACATCGCATTGAGGAAAATAACTTGTCGGTAGGCGATCGTGTGTTTGCCATTAAGCTCCATAAAATACTGCATTTTATTTATAAGCCAGCAAGGGGCTAATTGCTATCAGGGTATACCACTTTCAACTAGTTTTCTGTTGGATTGCTAATGAGTTCAAAATCAGAGGAAGAGATGATTGATAATTTTTGAATTTATGTTTCTAATTGAAGAGGGACAAGAACACCCTTCAAGGAATAATGAAACTGAGACATTTGATGTGGAACTTAAGCATTTGCTATCAGCCAAACAAAAAGTCCGATGAACCTGCTAAACTTCGACAATAATTAGCCTCCTTATAGCTTAATAATGAAGATTATTAAAAACTGCTTAACTGCACTATGGGGTAAAGAATAAATAAGATTGAAATAGATAAATTAATCAATTAAATGAAAGTTTGCAAATATATTGAAAAATGCTATTGCTGTGATCAATATGATTTAAAAACTAAGCTTCCTATGAACTTTATTGTGCTGAATGTGGCTTCTCTAGGACCTGTAGTTGATGTGACTGATGACGAACACAATATGTCAAAGGTAACGATATAACAAGTTATGGATTGAAGAATACTGTTGGTTGCCA